TGGTGAATACACAAACTTGAGCATTCCTTCATCCGCAATACTAAACCAACCCCACAAACAAACCCATGACTCTAAAACCCTCTCGGGCCCTTCGGCCCCAGCACTGGGAATCTGGGGCGCTGAGAAGGACTAAAGAGTGGACAGAAGGACCCACAAAACTGCAGGCCTGCAGAGACCTGCAGGCACTGCAGCCAAGGGCCAGGTGTCCTTGCCATAGCAGAAAATAAGATTTTATTTTATTTTTTACTCCTCTTTTAGCCTGCTGCCTTTCCTGTCTGCTTATTCAGGTGCACCTCGCTTGCAAAAGGCAGTTTTTGGCACTGCCCAACTTAACACCGGCCTGACTTCGGAATAAAGCTCGCAGTCCACAAGACCTTTAAAAAAAAAAAAAGAGAGAGAGAGGGAGAGAGAAAACGTTGAATATAACCATGGGAGAGGCAGGGGACACACCTCCATCTCCCCTCTTTGCTTGACGCCACAGAAAAGCCCGCAGAAAAAGGTGCGTTTGAAACGTCCATTTCCCCAAACACTCATTACGGCAGTTACGGGCAGTTTTGGTGACTGCAAAGACTCTTAAGCTCCACCACGACCCTGCCTATGGCAGGCGGGCAAAAGGAACGTCTCATCCTCTGGTTGCCGACACAAAGCACACAGGAAACAAGGTAAGCAGACCCCAAGTACATCAAACGAAGCGCTACCCGGCCCCCTCGGCCAGCGCAGCGCATGAAGGTGAGCGGAATGCTCAAGTTTCTGTATTCATCAATAAGGGGGTTTCTCCACAGTTTGGCTGAAGAGCAGGACAAAGGGAGGGGAGACTGAGCGGAGCCATGAGCCCAGTGGGACAAAAAGAGCCATCTGCAAGGAGATGGGGGCCTTTACAAAGGAGAGAAATAGGGCAATTGCCCCACATTCTTCAGCAAGGGGGACAAAGGAGTTGGTGAGCTCAGGTGAGAACAGATGGCGGGAGGCCGGAGTTCGGTGTAGGCGGGCCGGGAAGGCTGTAACTTCTGAGTACCTTGGCCAATGGGGAAAAGGAGAGGGCGTCCCTCGGTCGGGAAATTAGGATAAAAGGGGGGCTGCGTCCCCCAGCAATTGGAGAGACCCCACAGGGATATGCCCGGTGGACTCTCCCTTTATTCAAATAAAGTTTTAGGACTCCTCTGTCTCCTTTTGGACATTCAGTTCTTGACAGCGAGATTTTCCGCACAAATGGGGGCTCGTCCGGGATCCTTCCACCTTCCGGGAACGGCAGACGGCGATTGGAGTCGACGGCGCGCCTCACCATAGCTTTTGGTGATCGACTCCCTTCGACGGCAGCCTGCACCGGACGACTGATTGGGTTCC